GAATGTGTCAAGTTGTCACTAGTTCTGCTGGAGAGGGAGCCCAACCACAAAGACTGCAATTAGGGTTGGTTTGTTTTTTCAGTGTCTTTTTTTTTTTTTAATATGCTCTAGCACATGTTTCAACATTGCCATTGAAACAATACACGCTGCTGGGACAGAGTAGGAATGAACCATGGTTTGGGAAGCAGCACATGGGCACCTGTAGGAAAAGTGAGGGCAAACGCGTGCTCTCAGCTGCCCTTGAAGATCACAGCAGTCAGGGCACTGGGGGATGCCCAGCAGCTAAGCAGGATCCACACACACAAAGCAAAAATTTGGAGTACCCAGAACTGAAGGTCCTTCAGAGGGACAGAGCACTGAAACAGCATTCTCTTAAATATTTACGGGTTACTGTTTGCATCACCTTCCTTAACAGCCAAACAAGTCCCAGACACAAGGTTCAAGCTCCCTGTGAGCTCAAGCCAGTACCTCCTCAATTAAAACTTGGCAGTTGCTGTGAAACAACATTAACTGTAGAGAAGTTGGATCTCTTCTCTTGGATCCATTTCCAAAAACTGACAACGTCTCTGTCATTCCTGAGGACTGAATGCCTGCACACATTCTGTATGCATCTATACAAAATAAAATAAAATAAAACCACTCCATAGCTGTCAGTGAGCAACTGGAGCGTCGTTCTGAGGCAATCAGCTGCATTGCGATGTCACGGACTGAGAATGTTCTTTTAATTGTAACTGACACACATAATTATACAACTGATCTGTGTGAACATGAGGTTGCCAAGAAACTCAACGTTTCACTTCCCCCAGACTGGCGTCTGCAGAGATACCATCATGCTGAACGAAATATATTAAGACTTAATTGCTTCATGAAATGGGTCTCCAGAGAGACAGATAAGTTTACTCGGAGAAAAACTGACATTGTTCTGAAGAGACCCTCAACTCGATTTTCTCTTTCCTGTAGGAAGGAGCATGATAACACAAGACTTTATTTAAAGCTATTAAGCTCAGCAAAACGAAGCAGTCAGCTGGAAATAGCAGTAGCACCTGAAGGAATAGGAACAGAGGCAGGCGGACGACAACTGATGTGTAACAGCACGCACAGTTTCCAGATTCCCACAGTTCCTCTACTTCTGACCACGACCTTGAGCAAAGCTTTTTTAAAAATACAAAACACTGACAGAATCACAGAGTGGTTCAGGTTGGGAGGGACCTCAAGAGGTCCAAATTCCTGCTCAAAGCAGGGTCTCAGCACTCAGATGAGACCAGGTTACAGACAGTGAAAAGAACAAGCCAAAATTATTACTAGACCATCAGATGACTTAAGAGTAATTCTCACTAATACCTCACTAAATCCTTCTTTTGGGTAATTCCCAGACTTGGGAAGTTCACATGATTCTCTGTTGGAGGACCTGATGCTTGGCTGACTTGTGCAGCCTAAGAGGGCGACGGAATTCCCCAGGGCGCAGAGACAGCCCTTAGAAAGCACTTCCTCCACAATGCTCAGAAAGAAGAACACCTATCTGAGGTCCTGGATGCTCCATCTTCTGGTAACTGCACCCTGCCTCAGCCCAGAATTTGGACCTGCACTGCCTTTCCTCCTGCAGCTTCAAGATGATGAAAATAAAACAGTATCCCACAGCTGCGGCCTACTATCCCACTGCTTTTAAAGACTTTGGTATATTGCATCCTGCTTTTAAAACAAAAGGAAGATAACGTGTTCGGATATTTCACAGCTTTTAAAGCCTCCCTGGGCTTTCCTATTTCGGGCAGCACAGTTTATGGCTTTCATATTTCCAGCATTATTTGTTTGTTTGTTTATTCTTTAAGGCATTTTTTTTTCCTTCCCCAAGAGACAAGTTTTGTAACCATCTCCTCACTCAGCTCCCAACACTTACGCTGCAGTTCTTACACACGAACAGTCCTTCAGGTGAGAGCAGTCAGACCATCTGGACGCTGTCCTTTTCTCACACCACAGTCTCGTTCCCTTTCCCAGGTTTCACCCAACCGTCCGCTCTTTTCTCCCGTTTCACTTTCCCTGAGTTCACCAGTCTGTTTGAGCACTTCTGCCACGTGTGCAGAGTTTTGGCTGACCAGATCCACATACCTGAAGTGATGCCCACCAGGAGGGACATGAAGATTTTGAGCATCTCCACTGCCATATTGGAATCATCAGCTGAATAGCGGAAAACGGCCCAGTTGGAGATTTCGTAGAAATAACAGGCAATGACACACGTTGCTGGGACGGTGTACAGCACTGAGAAGACACCAATTTTAACCATCAGCCTCTCCAGTTTGTCAGTTTTAGTCCCGTCTTTCTGAAGATTGGATCTGATTTTAAATAAGGCCACCAATCCCGCTGCAATGAATAAAGTTCCAATAACCAGGTAGGTAAAAAGCGGAGCAACCACGAAGCCCGTCAGCGCATCCAGGTTCTGGTTGCCAACGTAGCACAGGCCAGTGAGCTCATCGGCATCTACCAGTCTCATAATCAAAATGACGATGGTCTTCACTGCAGGGATAGCCCAGGCTGCGATGTGGAAATAAGAGCTGTGCATTTCTATAGCTTCGTGGCCCCACTTGAGTCCTGCAGCCAGAAACCACGTCAGTGTCAGAATAACCCACCAGATGGAGCTAGCCATCCCGAAAAAGTACATCAGCAAGAAAATTATAGCACATCCTGTGTTCTTAAGACCTTCTTGGATAAGAACAGGTTCTGCTGCCTCTTCAAAATCACAGGATATCCTTTCCCGGCCCACAGTTAGCCTCACAATATAAGCAATGCTATAAATATTGTAGCACATGCTCAAAAATATGATTGGGCGCTCTGGGTAGGAAAATCTGGATGAATCAATCAGGAAGGTCAGGACTGTGAACGCAGTTGATATGAAGCATAGACTGGCCCACACGGCCATCCAGATATCTGTGAACTCCTTCGCTGACCTGCTGTAGAGCCCAGCGTCGTAGCCGCACTTCAGGACACAGTCCAGGTTTCTCTTGACCCAGATGTACTGATCTGAATTAGATCCCATGCTGTGACACTCCTCTCCAGGCTGCAAGGATGTCTTGCTATGAAGGGGAACCTCTTCATCTCCCGGGCCCTCCATGCACATGTGGTTGTGATCATTCTGGGGAGGGAATTTGCTGCAGTTCAAGCTGTCCGGCCAGGCAAATCCAAACTCTTTTAAAACAGGTTCACATCTTCTTTTGACGGAGAGGCACATGCCACCACAGGGACCTATGGGGATGTTAATCTTCTCCGTGCACATCGGGACATAGACCGAACAAAGGAAGAACTGCAAGAAAGAGAAACAAAAATCATGACCGCGTTAGGAGAGATTCCAGCGGGTCAAAATATAACAAGTTTTTGCCTTTTTAGCAGTAATTTTTGGTCCTTTGCCTTAAACAACAGGAAGCAGCGCAAAACAAACCAAGAACAATAAAAGCAGAGGAAGAAAACTCCTAGAAATGCTGCTTTCTTTCAGTTCAAATGCACTCTGCATGCAGAGCCCACACGTTTTGCTCCCTGGATGAGCTCCACGCAAACTGAGCCCATCAGTTTCAATATAGTGAGCTGGACTCAGCCAGATGTGAACCTCCAGGGTTTGCAATTTAGGAAAGCAAAAATACAAACAACAAAAAACAAACAAACAGACACCCAAAAAACAGACAACCTCCCTCCCCCCCAAAAAAATCCAGAAAGCAAACCCTAAACAAACTGAAGAGGTTTAAAACAAACAGATTCGTTGGAGGCACTGCCTGGAGCAAGCAAACAGAAGAAAAGGCATTTAGCGACCGCTTCGATTCGCGGTCCCACGAGCACGGCGTGCTCCTCTCTCACTGTAAGGTCGACTACTTTCTGTTTTTTGCAGCAATAAACATCGCGGCTTTCTCCGCTCTTCCGCGCGTTCGCACGCAGCTCCTCGCCATCCCCGCGCCCCGACCGGTGTCACAGCCGCGCTCAGCTCCCGCTGCCGGACCCCCCCCGGCCGACGCTCACCTGGAGCTGGCTGGAGCAGCCGTACTGGATGAGCGGGGTGAAAGTGGTGAGCTGCAGCTCGGCGTCCGCCTGCAGCTCGTGGCCCACCAGGTTGGGCATCTTGGTGACATTGTAGCCCAGGTTCTGGCACATGGCGATGCGGATGGCGTCGCAGCGCCTCTCCTCCTCGTCGCCGAAGCCCCGCGCCCCGCCGAGCAGCCCGGCCAGCAGCAAGGCCAGCATTCGGCCCCCGCCGCCGCGCCGCTCCATCGCCACCCCCGGCCCCACCTGCCCCGACCCCGGGCTGCGGGCTGCGGGCTCCGGCCCCGGCCGCGCCGTGCCGCACGGGCCGGCTCCAACGGGGAGGGGCCGAGGGCGGCCCCGCTCTTAAACCGCCGCGCCAAGAAACTGCCCAGGGGAGGGACGTTGCCTCCCCGAGCCGCCGCCGCCTCCTCCTCCCAGCGCCGCCGCCCCGAGGACGCGCCCCGCGGTGCCGGGGAAGCGCCCCGCTGCGCCCCGCCGCCGGCAGCGCTCGCTGTCAACGCCAGGCGCTCGTTCGCTGCCTCCCGCGCTCCGGGGCGCAGTGCCTGCTGTCCCCACCGTGCGTCCCCGCCGGGCGTCCCCGCCGGGCCGAGGCGTGAGGCCCGCTCCCACTCAGCACTGCCGGCCGAAAGGGCTCCCCGAGGGCATGGCTGCCCAGGGGCAGCGTAAGGCCGAGCCTTCGTCAGGCTGTGGGCAGAGCTGGGGAAGTTTCTGAGGTGCTGCCTATCCTCTTTCATGTGTCCGCTTCATAGAGTCGCAGAGTTGGAAGGGACCTTAAAGCCCATGCAGTTCCAACCCCTATCATGGGCTGGTTACCACTCACCTGCTCAGGCTGCCCAGGGTCCAGTCAGCCTGGCCTTGAGCACCTCTAGAGATGGGGCACCCGCAGCTTGGTCCAGAGCACAAGCCTAATGGAGAGCGGCTGAGGGAATTGGGATTGTTTGATCTGGAGAAGGGGAGGCGCAGGGGACACCTTATCACCTTCTAAAACTCCCTGACAGGAGGTTGCAGCAAGGTGGGTGTCAGCCTCTTCTCACAGGTAACAGCAATAGGCTGAGCAGGAATGACCCCAAGTTGTGCCAGAGGAGGTTCAGGTTGGATATTAGGAAACATTTCTTCTTCTAAAGAGTGCTAATGCATTGGAACAAGCTGCCCAGGGAGGTGGTGGAGTCCACCTGGGTCATGGTGTTCCTTTGTGGGCAGCAAGAAATGAGGAGGGCACTGCTATCAGTAGCTCATAGTATTTGTGTAAATCTCATAAATACCTATGGATGTAGCACTCGCAAATGATGAGAGAAAAGGGCTGTGGGATTGAGCTGTGGAGTGTCAGCGGGAGGATGGATTAAGAGCAGACAAATGAGGCTTGCTTTCCAGATAATTTACACCTGTAATAAAATCTGGTAGAGCTGGTTGTGCCTTTAGCAAAAATATGTCATCTATTAATGACTTGTTTGTAAAGCACTTGGAAAATGTTTGTAGAGCCCTAGTTAAATGACCTCTGGCTGGGTGCGTGTCTCTGTGCATGCAGCGTGGGACACGTGTGGGTGCTCTGTGACAGAGCTGTGTGTCCATCTGTGCATGGCCATGATGCTGACTGATCTTCTTCCTCAAGTGCTAGAGATAGTGTTTTAATGGATGTTTCATGAGCGCAGGTGTTTACATAGCCCTCATCACCCTGATGCTTAGCTCCAATAAAGTGACTGCGGCCTTATAAAACCCTTGCGAGGCAGACAAGTTATATTATCTTAACTTTTTTAACACAGGGTCAGACGGTGCTGTGGTCCCAAGGTCGTGCAAGGAGCCTGCAGTACAGTCAGCAGCTCAACCCGTATCTGGTGAGGGCTGTATTTACTCATAAGCATTGCCTTCTGTGACTAGCAGTACTCAGCTGCTAATCTGGGTTGGTGATAGTGTTGTGAACTCACACAGTGTACTGCAAATGTCCAATGAGCTTTTCCCAGCCCCACCAAAAGCGTGATCTAAATCAGACAGGGAATGGGCACTGGGCATTCCATACAGGCTAACACACAAAAGCAGAAAGCAAAGCCTCCCATGGGAGAAGTTGTGGTCTAAATTCTGTAGGTAAGGAGGTTGGAGGGAGGAGGATCACGGTGACCCTAAAAGCTATGAATCTTTTTCTTAGATAAAATCATTTGATCTGGAAGGGACCCTCAAATGTCATCTAGTCCAACTCCCCTGCAATGAACAGGGACACCCACAGCTAGCTCAGGTTGTTCAGAGCCCTGTCCAGCCTGTAGTGGGGTAGACCAGAGCAGAGCTTTGCCTAATTCCCAGGAAACAATTTGTCTGCTGCACGTTCAGCAAAACCCTCTGCCAGTGGACCCAGTCCTTTGACTCAGTGGAAGGGACAGGAGGACATGTTAGAGCTGCAGTGAGATACAAGTGTCTCTTAGAAAAAAAACACCACCCCCCCCCAAAAAAATAATTGCCACTATTGCTTTTTCTTTGAGAACACAAAAATAAATATTAGGAAGTGCTACACTGCCATGTTTGCTTTGGAGAGTCTTTTAGATAATGGGAATTAGTTTTCAAAACAAGAATACTGGCAAATCATAGCAGAGGTCTGAGTTGGAAAAAATGGTAATTACACTGCTTTGAACCTTGTGCATATATTAACAGTGATTAAATGTCACCATGATAAGCATGTGCATAATAGCTTCTTGAAACAGATCAAAGTAAGAAACCTCTGGGATAGTTGGTGTAGAGATTCTTAGATTACTGGGCAGTTGTGAGATTCTGGCCTCAGTCCTGCACAGCCCAAACTGTGTTATTTCCTTGTTTGTTATTTGAATCGCAATGTATCTTTTTTTATTTTTATTTTAAGAAATAAGATTTTGAGGTTGCCTTCATTAAAGAATCAGCTGCTAAGAAGCTCCCTGTTTATTGTGGCTGCCAATAATTATATCTGGTTTCTAGTTTGAGTTATCTCCTGCTTCCAGCCTCTGACTTTTGTTGGATCTTTAGTGGCCAGAGTGAGAAGCCATCCCCAAGATCATCCCTGTGAGTAATGTCAGACCAAATAAGTCACCCTTTGGCATTTTTGCAGTAAGCAAAATAGATTGAACTTCCCGAGTTTCTTACTGCAAGGTGTCTTTTGCAAAGCTTTAACCATGCTTTTGATTTTAAAGGAGTGAGATTTGAGCCTGACTTTTTGTCCCTTTAGAGTCAGCTAAGACAAGCAAACAACTGCAGGGGGCAACTCACATTATAGGAATTACATGAATATAAAATATTACTTATAGTCTGTTATTGTATTTCTGTTGTTGTAATTTTCCTCTGAAGTTTTTATGTTTTTTTTTTTTTTGCATATTTACTTAAGCTGCAAGTGTATTTCTTTATCATTGAATGTCTCCAGTATCTCTCAGATTCTTGCAGCAGGAGACCTGGGAAAATTCAAAACTGAATATTTTCAAGGCATCAATGTTTTCCTGAACGCTGGTGTTAGAATGTGGTTTGGCTCTCCAGTAGAAACAAGACTCATGTCAGATGTGCAGGTCTTCATTCCTACACGAGATCAGCTTGCTTGTACATCCAAGGATGCTATCTGCCCTTCAGACCACATCCTCACACCAAAAGCCACTACTGCTTGTGAGTAGACCTGAGGAAACTCAGGCACCCTCTCCATTTCTTTTCAAGCGTGGATACCACACTGGAATTTTATTTCCTTAATCTAATTTAGATGTCTACTTATGGTCAGGTGAATTTCATTTTAAAAACTAGCCCAGAAGTGCAGGGTCACTTGGAGATGTCTAATGGTGGCTGGATAATGGCCACTTCTGGGACACAGAGGGAATAGACGTTGCCATCCCACAGATTTCTGACAAAGTTCTTGGATACAAGGGAGCAAAACAGGCAGGTTTTTAAACATGTGCAAATCCTAGAGCTGTTCTGGGACATCTCCTTATAGTACCACTGAAACCATAACATTGCATTTTCACTGTTAGTCACTTTTCTCTAACTTTTCTCATCTGTGTTTTCCAAAACTCAGCCAAATGTCTGTTGGACATTTGTCACTTGCATTGTTTATTGACAGTTCCACAACTTCCATCTCGTAACATAGCAGTACCATTTGTGGCTCTATCTTGGTTTACATAAAACTCCATCGTCTTTGACCACCTGTCCATTAATTTTCTCTTTTTGCTTATTTTATAACATTCTTTTAATTCCTTTTGTGTTTGTTTTCATTCAACTCAATGTCTTCTTTCTCCTGTTTATCACTGATGTATTTTCTTAACTTTATAGTGTTAACAATGTTACTAAAGGTGTTTTCTTTAATTTTCCACCTATACATTTAGCTAATTTTTTTTTAAATCAAGGCAGATTGCTTTCATAATGGCTTTTCTGGAATCTAGTAAAATCTTTACAGTTGATTCCTATTACTATGCTTGTTATTCTGCACTTTGAGAGGCTGACCTTTTTAAAGCAGGAAGCATGTCTCTGTTTCGACATGGCTGTAGCCTCCTTTAAGGTACTGCTGTGCAGCTGAGCTGTGACACATCCATACAATATCTGAATTCACATGTGTAATTCCTTGCATGCCAGCATGGGTCAATAATTGCTCCATGACCCCTGAAAGTCAATAATGTTAACTCAGTCTGCACAGAGACCTCAGACTTTGTTTTCACAGCACTGTAAACAGGAAATTTCAGCGCTGTTTAATATGCACCATTTCAAGAAACCATTTGCATTTAGCTGTCATCAAAATGGGTGCCAACGCTCGAGAATTTATCAGGCTGTTTGTGTGGGTGGGAATCTAGAAGGCACAGGTGTATCACACACACCATATAATGGGGCACCAAGAGCAAAGCTGGCCATAACTTTCTTAAGATGACAGTTGTTCATATACACGTCACTTCATCTGTGTCCTAGTATTTGACATGCAAGTATTTCTCTTTCTTGGCTTAAAAATATGTACGATATTTTATTTTTGACAGTTTTCCCACAGCCCTTTCCTCTGATAATGAAGGATTCATGTACAGAATCATCATAAAATCACAGAATGGGTTGGAAGGGACCTCAAGGATCATGAGGCTCCAATCCTCCCACCACAGGCAGGGCCGCCAACCTCCCCATTTAATACGAGACCAGCTGCCCAGGGCCCCATCCAACCTGGCCTCCAGGGATGGACAAGGCATCCACAGCCTCCCTGGGCAGTTGTTCCAGCACCTCACCACTCTCTCTGTAAAGGACTTCCCCTTAACATCCAACCTAAATCTTCCCTTCTTCAACTTCAAACCATTTCCCCTTGTCCTGCAGTTATCAACCCTTTCAAAGAGTTGATTCCCCTCCTGTTTGTAGGCTCCCTTTAGGTACTGAAAGGCTGTAGTGAGGTCACCCCGCAGCCTTCTTTTCTCCAGGCTGAACAAGCCCAGCTTCCTCAGCCTGTCTTCATAGTAGAGTTGCCTCAGTCCTCTGATCATCTTAGTGGCCCTCCTCTGGATCCACTCCAACAGCTCTCTGCCTTTCCTGTACTGAGACCCCCAGACCTGCATGCAGTACTTCAGATGGGGCCTCATGAGAGCAGAGTAGAAAGGGACAATCACCTCCCTGTCCCTGCTGGCCATCCTTTTTGTGATGGAGCCAGTATGTCCTCTGCCAGATTAACAGACCAAACCGGCATTTATTTGGCAAAGACGTTTTCAGGATCTGGTATTACAGAAACATTTTGGCAATTTTTTTTTTTAATTTTATTTTTTCCCCACATTTTCACTGTGCTGAAATACAAAACCATCCAACACGAGCAGCCTCAGGCCAGGCTGGATGTGGCTCTGGGCAGCCTGGTCTGGTGGTTGGCGACCCTGCACATAGCAGGGGGGTTGGAACTAGATGATCATTGTGGTCCTTTTCAACCCAGGCCATTCTCTGATTCTCTGATTTGACCAAAGTGCCCAGGAAAGCTGTGTTGCAGAGATACAATATGTCAAATTTCAACAAAATCTGTTCCTTTTGGGAAAATCCACTGTCTGTGTCTTGACCCATGGGGGAAGCAGAATTCAGCCTGAACTTTGGAATCCATGCTGTTGTGTCCCAAACAGGCTTCCAGTTTGAACTGCTGCTCATGTTTGTGTCTGCAATGCTCAGGGATTTGCATTTTGGCCTGAAATTTCCCACACTTGATCTTGGCCCAAGAGATTTTTATTTTATTTTATTTTATTTTATGGAAAATGATAAATAGTTTTCTTCTCAGAAAATGGCTCAGAGGCCTTTTTCATGCTCAGATAACTCCAACACAGCTTGGTTTTATAACTTCAGATTTGGCAAGTGCAGAGTGCAGTCCGGAATGAGGAATGCACTTTTTTGCCTTGTTTGAAGACATTTCATTTCACAATAGCAAATTAGTCCGAATCTTTGGAAATAATAGACTGATCGTTCACAAGGCGTTATTTCACCATGGTGGAGAATGACAGACCAAGCTCTATTTCTCTGGGAGGTCACGAGTCTTGCTTTATAAATATGGCTTAGCTTCCTTTTTGCAGCGTCATCTTTCCTACTAAATCTCTCTGCGTCCCCTTTTGCTTTAACTCTAGCTGCAGCAGAGGTCATTTCTGCTATATTTGCTCTCCATAAGCTAGGTTGGTTGTACGTCCTTCTCATATGTAAGTAGACTTCAGAAATTAAGTTATGCTGAGATACACAGCCCTCAGAAGAGGAGCTCAGGAGGCAGATTTGCTGATACGCTTCAGCTGTTCTGCGCTGCCCCGGCGGTACAGCAACAAGCTGCTGTAATGAATCGGTTACTGCAGGCATAAGGTTGTTCTGTGTCACTGGAGCAGCACAGAGCTGTGAAGCATGCTGATGAATCTAGCCACAAATCTTGAAATGTCTTCTTTTTTTTCCCGTTAAAAAGCCTGTGTGAGCCGATACGCTGTGTTTAATTACATAACAGCAAGTATTGACTTGCAAGGCATGGCTGGAAAAAACCCGTCTTTGTGTTATGTTAGGCAGGCAGTGGGGTCATCCTCCTGGGAAAGAAATTTGACATCTGCCAGGAGTTGAAGTTAGTGAGATTTGTGCTGCTTTCGTAGAGTTTTGTGAATACACAAAGGGCGGATGGATGCAACGCTGCAGGCTGTCTGATAGTGCCTGCTGTCTGGCCGCTCACGAAGAGCAGCTCACATGCCAGCTAAGGGGCACCACGTTACACACATGGCTGCATTCAGGTCCTGCTAAAATGGCAGAGGGGTTTCGCCAGGCAGCAATACGTGGCTCTTCCAGCTCTGGCGGGACAGCCTGGTTTACAGTGGCACTGTTCTTCACTTTGTGGGCCATCTAAAATATAGGTCTGAGTGCTAATTAATTCCAAACCCCAGTCTCCGCTGTACTTCTTCTAATTTTTGGCTGTTTTCTTTTCAAATGGTCACAGTATACTCCCAGTTTGGGAGTCGGTATAGTTATTTCATTCAAGCATGTTATTTTTTTGCTGATATGTTTATACAGATAGTCTTTAGCATGGATGTTGTGGCAGGAGGCATTTGCTTTATTCTGTTCCCTCTTCCAGTACAGTTTATCCCTCTTCACACAGACAGAGCTTCTCTTCTGTAAACCATTTCTACATGACATTCACATCTTTCTCTACCTATTCCTATATGAGTAAAGACAAACACAAACTTCATTCCAGGCTGTGAGAAGGACTGGTTTGGCAAGTCTTCATCAAACAGATTTCCTAATTTCTACCCAAGTTGGAAAATTAATCGTATGGATTGCTGTTATACACACTCAAGAAGTTACAAAATGAGCACAAATAATGGCATTCATTCTTGTCCGGAAGGCTTTGCTGCCATTTTATATTTACCTTGTATTCCTTGCCTGTGTAGGTGCAAAGCAATTGAGACCTACAAATCATATCTGTCTCCACAAGCAGTTCTTTGTCCAAAGCACCATTTCCATGACCATTTTCTGACCTGAAATATCATTCCTCCTGACCCGCCCCGTCCCACGTGCATTTCTGCTGTTCCTCTGCCTCCTTGGCAGTGTAGGTGCGGGTTTAATTGTCAAAAAACGAACAGAACAGATTGAAATGAATGTGATGACGAGGACGGGTGGTGTGACCACAAAAGAAAACAGATTAGTTTAGATTGGCTTCGACTGTCAAGGAGCCGCACCCTTAACCTTTTCTACAGTGCTGATCACTCTGGTATTCTCGCATTGCACAGAGGTTTTGTTATCAATGGAACAAACACAGAATTTTATTTTTGTTATTACTGGATGAAGCATTTGAGGATATAGTGATCTTTCGTTCCTGGGCAGTGTTATTTATATTTGGAGGCTGACAATCCACTTAATTCCCCGTAGACATATAGATGAAGTTAGAAAATAATGGTAGTTTATGTGAATTCTGTTTTTCTCAGGCATTTTTATTCCTCAGAGAGACTTCCATGGGGCCAGATTACCATGAAAACTAGAATACCATGATATTTCAGTTCCATATGGTAAAAGTTCATGTCATTCATTATTGTTGACACTGTACATACATCCTTGGGGAACTATGAAAAATATAAAAATAAAACTCCTATAAAATGTGCATTTAAAAAAAAAAAATCTATAAAAACTGCTCTTCAACTCAAATGTTCCCCAAGAAAATCTAAAGCCAATTATTCCCCAAATATGGAAATTTCAGGCCACAGCTGGAACATCCAGGAGAGTTTCTGGAGGATGTGCATTGCCACAACACCAAGGCCATCACGGTAGAGGACAGCCACTGAAAAGACCAGTAACGCTCTCTGTGCTGCCCCACACCTTGCCTCTTCCTTCTGATTCAGCTGCACCTGATAGATGTGCAACTAAGGGTGAGTTTAATCTGTGGGGTTTTTTTGGAAGATTAGTTTGCCATTGAATCCTGTGTAGTCAAGACAGAAAGAGAAGGTGCTTGAGAGTCCAGTTCAGAGCTAACGAGGCCACTCTGCCTTGACTATCAGAAATGCTTAGGATCATAGAATCATAGAACGGCCTGGGTTGAAAAGGACCACAATGCTCATCCAGTTCCAACCCCCTGCTATGTGCAGGGTCGCCAACCACCAGACCAGGCTGCCCAGAGCAACATCCAGCCTGGCCTTGAATGCCTCCAGGGATGGGGCATCTACAACCTCCTTGAGCAACCTGTTCCAGTGTGTCAGCACCCTCTGTGTGAGGATGTCATCTCACTGGATGTCTGACTCATTCCTTAGCTGCTCAGGTATCTGGGTAAAGCAAAGAGAAATTAACACAGGCTTAACTGTAATAAGAAAGTATAGACTAAGGGATTATTAATGGAAGATCACTTGGGGGTACAGTGCATCAATGCAGGATTAAGAAATGTCTTAATTTCAGGCTAACTAGAGAGTCATTGTAATGCCCTTAAGGCTTGCTATGGGACTTGCACATAAAGGGCAATGCGATGCCAATCCAGCCTCAGAATTATGAAAGAATGAACTGGGTCACAAGTCCACGATTTCAGAGAGCAAACAGACAGCACTTCAAGAAATTGTTTTCGAAACAGACACATAGGAAAAGGGAACTTTCAAAAGTCCTCCTGAAAAGTGGTACTGTAAGAGGTAAGTGGTACTGTAAGATCTCTGGGGGAGATCTTATTTTCCTTCTGCTAGAACAAAATGATGCAGGACATAAAAGGAAATTTATGTTGAGACTTTCAGCTTTTGGTGAGCTGTGCTATAAACCTATATGTCTATTTTTTTGACCATTAACAATTAGAGCTCGTTCACACAATAGTGAAAACTGTATTTCAAAATGAGCTGTTTTGTTTACTTAAAATGTTCCCCCATCATCCCTCACTGTCTGTTACTGTGTACAGTTGTTCTTTCAGAACAGGATGAACGCAGTTTGGTGGGGGTGGGAGTGCTGGGAGGAGGTATAACTTCTTGAATAATTATCACTATCTTTGTAAAGTTTGCTGAAGTTCTGGTATGAGGGAACTTCAATAAATTGTTTGAGTTAATGCTCCTTTGTGGTACTGAGACTTCACCCATGGACCGTCCTTAGTGCTGTGTTATTAGAGGCAGTGTATTATTCTATCCAAAGCTATATTGACTTCCCCCATCCGGGTTTTTGACAAAGTGAGATCTGTATAAAATCACATTTCTTCTTCTCAAAACATAAGGAACAAATATTTTATATTCAGTAAAGAGAATGTAAAAGGAAGGTGCTTTGTTGGTGTGGGAGAGGGACGTAAAATGATATCACATTCGGCCAGTTACCTCATCTGCATGCACATGCATACGCACATGTATGCAGAAATCTGGCAGTAAGTTTACTTCTCCCTATCTTCAATGTCTTCCAATGCTACAAAACACTATAAAACTGTCAAGAGAAGCCTTCTGACAGTAACATACATCAGGCCATGCAAGGAACTCTCCCAGCGAGTGGTGAAAGCCCTGTGAACAACAGTGATTCTCAACATGATGTGCACAAATTTGACATAATGTGATCTACAAAACATGACTTCCAGACATTACTGCTACACAGAGGCACGGGTGGGTTTTGGGGCTTAGCTAACCTCAAAAAGCAGAACCATTCCTAAGAAAGAATTTATACTCAAGTTCATGTCTTCTGGCTGGAAACTCAGATACCAAGGTGACACCACAGCCTTTATTTACAACTACGCAGAATGCTGAAAACTCTCTGGAAGACAGTATTGGAACAGCCTGAAAAAAAGCCTGTTACTTCAGAAGAGGAATTTATTAAGAGGCACCAAGTTAGGTGTCCAGCCCGTACTGAACTGGGCTGCGATCTGAGCAGCTCTCAAGGGTTCTTTGAAAATCCTAACCTGAAATTCATAGAATCTTTGAATCATAGAACGGCCTGGGTTGGAAGGGACCCTAAGGATCATCAAGTACCAATCCCCTGCTAGATTTCTATCTATCCTAGAGTTAGTATAGGAGAAGTCTCTGTAGGAGACCTCTGCAAATGAGATCAGAACTGAGCCATGAAATGCTGACAAAGTCATCTGGAGCATATGGAGCTGTGCTCAGTGATGAGCCTACCATTTCATTATTTTTGTGTTTATTACATCTTTTTTATTGAATGTGCTGTTTTTCTTTTATCTGCAGCTTTTATTTTGATTTGTATTTCATTATGATTTACTTTCATTTGATAGTTCTCGGTCTATTTACAGAGAACAAAAGAATGCACAATGTAGAACAGTAGAAAAATAGTGTTTATTTTCACAAGTTTGGAACGATCAAATAACTCACAAGTCACAAAGTGGAACCATGCCTGAGGTAGGTTAGGTCATCTCAAGTGTGTGGAAACAAACAGAAATATCCCATTCTTCACTATTGTTTATTATATTTATGCCACTTGGGAGTTTTAACAATACCACATATATAAAACATTTGTTCTTGCTTTCTGCGCTATTCAGGGTTTTCTCAAGGATCTTTGGTGCCTTTTTTCATAGGAACACTGTGATGCTGCTATGCTTTGGTGACTTTCTCATCTGATTTAGCAGAACTGTAAGAAATGGCCCCCATGAATGAGCCAGAAGTGCTGAAAAGGAGTTTTTGTTCTCTGAATGCTTCTGTGTTTAAAAATGGTTCTTTTGAGAGTTGTAACTGGCTTATTTCAACTTCTCAATTCTTTTTAATGTACATTTAAAGCTCAGTCCAACAGAGAGAAACTAAAAGTGTGCTGGTGACGATCAGGTGCCATGCAGTCCCATCAGATTGATTTTTATAACACTTTTGTCTTTGACAGGAGGTCCAAACGTGGATGTCTAAAGCCACATCTACCTGTTTAATCCTGCGATTTAAAGAGCTAAAAGTCATCATGGGAGCACAGCTTCTTTCATTTGCAATTGCTCACAGTACTGGACATCCAGAGTCCTGCTAAGGACGATGCAGTTTATCAAACCAGCTTTGCACGGTAACCTAAAATCATGGCCATTTTGCTGGGAAACACAGACCTGTAAAATGCAGTGATTCAGCATCTGCATCTTAAGCTCTTGAATTTCACTCCTGGATGTCTAAGAGCTGGCAGCAGGAGTGATCAGACGCCTAAGGCTATTTCAACATGGGCATTTGAAAATTAAGTCAGTGAAATTTACTGTTCATTATTCCTCTGGAAAATTCAGGCTTAAATTGAAAGTCTTTTCAATAGTGCTGAGTTCCTCGAAACTATCACTGCTTTTCAAAGGAGCTCAATTGCTTTAGAATAACTACATTTTATCTATGGTCTTAGCAGCCCAACTTTATGGACTGACAGTTTTATTACAGAAACTTAAAGTGTGTTAGGACTTCAAACAGGGAAAAAATGGCTTCTTCTGAGTCTTTTCTTAGTTTCACAAAGCTATTCATGACTATGAAAAAATTCCTGTGATTGAAGCATAAATAATGTTGCAATAATAACCTCATATAAGATGGGAATGGCTGAGGGGACAGAGAAACAACATTTTTTACTAAAGGATTTCATCATTCATTCCTCTCTGCTTTTCTGTCCTGCTTTGGGAAAGATGTAACATCTGCAGAGCTGAAGAGCACAGCCAACAACCAGTTGCTTCTCCCAGCTTGCACCTGCCCTGCTTGAGGTCAGACTTCTCTATAAGAGATTTATCTCAGAACTCATTCAAGAGGCCCAGAACTCTACTTCTCTCCTTCCCATTCATATCCATAGGAAGGTGAGCACCGTCTGCTTGTTTGAAGGCTGCTGCCCCCACCTGGCACGAAGAGGTGAAGGATGTGGCACCTGCACAGGACAGATCTTTCCTGACTGCTGAATGTGAGAAACATCACAGAGGGAGGAAGGGGATGTGAGTTCCAGAGACAGCACTGTGATTGCAGGGAGCATGGGCAGATATACTTTTGGTAGCACGCAATTTTTCCACCCTAAAAGATTTTATTTCCATCTGGATGGAGTAGTGACATAGGCTGGCAGTAGAAGTAGGTTGTTGCAGAGGTTTAGGAATGTTGGTTGAATGAAGGCAGAAAACAGCCTCTATTACCCAGCTGGAGGGATTTCAAGCAGGTTGAGGTACATGGAGTACGCAAGATGTTATTCTGCATTCTTTCCAAACTACTGAGAGCATTTTCTCGAAAAGCAGGAAATGAGCAGAGAAGTAGCTGCTCCTTTGGGTCCCAGTTCCCATTGTGGGCTGCTGCTGGAGTGGTGTCCATGTGCACTACCTCTGGCTCCTCCTGTAGTGATCCCAGTGGCTCAGTTTAGCCCTTCATGGCTCACTTCAGCCAATTCTGTCACCTGATACAGAAAGAATAAATCAGCACTTCCAGGAACAGCAGCACCATAGACAAAACACAACGGAAATACAATTCTCCTGGAGTGAGAAGCATGAACATAGCTCAGTATGTCATCTCTTGGTTTAGCCTACAGAATCAGTGTGGTGAACACTACGGTTCTGATTTCTTGATGTAATCTTTGCTACGTGGCTCTGGACAGCCTGGTCTGGTGGTTGGCCACTCTACACATAGCAGGGGGGTTGAAATTGGATGATTATTGTGGTCTTTTTCAGCCCAGGTCATTCTATGATTCTTTGATTCTATGAAAGACTTCAACGTTTATGTCTGGAAAAAATCCAGATCTGTATAAACTAGAGGAGATTATTGTGTGTATTAAAATGTTCACATGGTATTATCCTACAACCCTTCCCATATTTATTTTGGAAATCATTACATCTGGAAAATGGGAAAACTTCCAGTTAATTCTTTTACCTTGAAATATCAGCAAACACAAGGGGATGTTGAGATTATTCCCTGCTAAAAAAGAAAAAAAGAACAAGTAGGACTCAGGACTATAAGCCAAAAGAGAATCCTTCTTCAAATAATGCATCACGGCTTAAGCTTACCATTGGGAAAACAAGGGTGAAAAGTGAAAAAGGGCCTCTGTACTCAGCTCTGGGGAGGTTGTACCTTGAGTACAGTGCTTGTTTTTGGCCCCTCAAAAAGACACTGAGGCCCTGGAGCATGTCCAGAAAAGGGCAGCTGAGATGTGAGTGGTCCGGAGCATGAATCTTATGGGGATGGGCTGAGGGAACTGGGGTTGTTCAGCCTGGAGAAGAGGAGGTGCAGGAGACCTTATTGCTCTCCACAGCTCACTGAAAGGAGGTTGTGGTGAGGTGGGGGTCGGCCTCTTCTCCCATGTAACAGTGATAAAAGGTAATGGGTTCAAGTTGCACCAGGGGATGTTCAGTTTAGATATTAGGAAAAATTTCTTCTCCAAAAGAGTGGTGAAGCACTGGCACAGGCTGCCCAGGGAGATAGTGCAGTCACTGTCCCTGAAAGCATCCAAGAACATGGAGATGTGGCACTGAGGGATGTGGCCAGTGGGCATGGTGGGGATGGGTTCATTGTTGGACTTGATCTTAGAGGTCTTTTCCAACTTTAATGATTCTGTGATTCTAGTGCCGGCTCAATGAATGGCCACTCACTGCCATTCTAGACAAGCATGACAAGCTTTAGGGAGCTTATGGTTTACACCTACAAAGCAAATTATAGCCTGCACTTACACTTGGGCCAGATCTTGAGAAGAAATGGAGATTGGTGAAACTCTCTCCAGATACCACTGATGGTGTGATGCTCCAGACCCTTCTCAAAGGCTTTCAGTTCTCTCCTGAAATTCACTTTTTACAAATTTGGGGAGGACAAAGGGAAATGGCTTCAAATTAAAGAGGGGAGATGTAGGTTGGATATAAGGAAGAATCACAGAATCACAGAATCACAGAATCACCCGGGTTGGAAGGGACCTCAAGGATCATGTAGTTCCAACCCCCCTGCCTAGCAGGGCCACCAAACATACACATTCAGATCAGGTTGCCCAGGACCCCGTCCAACTTGGCCTTAAACACGTCCAAGGACGGGGCATCCACAACCTCCCTGGGCAGCCCGTTCCAGGGCCTAACCACTCTCCTTGTATAGAACTTCCCCCTAACATCCAACCTAAATCTTCCCTCCTTCAACTTGGATCCATTTCCCCTAGTCCTGCTGTTGTCAGCCCTTTTGAAGAGTTTACTCCCCTCCTGGGTGTAGGTTCCCTTCAGGTATTGATAGGCTGCAATGAGGTCACCACGCAGCCTTCTCTTCTCCAGGCTGAACAAGCCCAACTCCCTCAGCCTGTCCTCATAGGGGAGGTGCTCCAGCCCCCTGATCATCTTAGTCGCCCTCCTCTGGACCCTTTCCAAAATCTCAATGTCTTTCTTGTACTGAGGGCTCCACACCTGGACACAGGACTCCAGATGGGGCCTCACAAGAGCCGAGTAGAGAGGGACAATCACCTCCCTGTCCCTGCTGACCACCCCTCTCCTGATGGAGCCCAGGATCCCATTTGCCTTTCGAGCTGCCAGAGCGCACTGCAAGAAGTTTTTTCCAATAAGGTAGCGAAGCACTGGCACAGGTTGCCCATAAGGGTGGTGGATGCCCTGTCCCTGGAGACACTCAAGGTCATGTTGGATGGGTCTATGAACACCTGATTGAGCTGTAGGTGTCCCTGTTCATTGGGAACAGATGATCTTGAAGAGTCTCTTCCAGCTCAAACAATTCTATGATTCTATGGTGACTCACTGTGAGGGCAAGCAGAATTCTTCACACCTCCATCTACTGTTGTGGGCTGAGATCTCTAATTTCCCTTGCAGATAGCAGATTTGTTAGACACTGAAGATACTAGTAGATAATGTTATCAGACAGTGAGACCCTCAGAAACCTGGAAAGGTGGACAGTGCTTTTCTGCATGCAGCCATTGCCACCTGAGACATCTGTATGCCAGTTAGCATCAGTATAGGTGAGCTGTAGAGCTGTAGTGCTGTCCAATAAGAAGGGGGTCGTGCCAAAGCCTGAGACATAAGTGGGAGTCTGACCCAGCTAATGTTTGAAAGTTGCATTCTGTCAGCTCAGCTGCATATGGATGTATTCAGCTAGAAGAGTTCAGGGCAGTGGGATGCTGCTACATCGCTCACCTGTCTGGGTTATCGTAGAAACTGGGATATCATAGCTGTCCTTTAATGAGGCTTACATGCATCTGACATTTTTGACTGTGTAAACTTCAGTCCTGATGTCCTGGTATATCTGACATTGCTGAATTAGTGAGGACCTGGAGTAAGCTGAGCACTCAGAACACTCAGTTCCCCCGTCACTTATGCTGCTTAGCAATTAGCTTACACTCTGCATTTGGTTTTAGGACTACTCAGAGAAACACTCTCCAGGACACCCAGATATTTATTACAAGGCAAGTCCTGAGCCACATCACCCAGCTTCATACCAAGGGACCAATCCCTGGCATGCATTTATTAGCTTTATTGATGCAGCCTGGTACTCCCAGGATGCAGCCTTGTTCATACAGCCAGGAGAGCACCTGAAAGCCCCAAGAACATAAGGAGGTAAAAGTAAAGATCCACAATGCTTTCTGAAGTGAGTCTCTTCCTTTCCAAGATGCTGCTGTCCCTGTTCCAACTAAGGCTGAGCTCCCAGGACAGCCCAGCCTGGAATGGGCTGTTAGGCTTTTCCCATGCTACTTCACCCCTAGGGCTTCCCAGAATAGAGGACTGCAACCCAATGGAACAGAGCCTGAAACAAAGTCAGTGCTGTGGTGCCTTCTTCGTTAGTGCACAGCCAGAGTTGGCAGAGATCCCAAACCTCCTGCTCAGGTCCAAGCAGAGCTGCTGCACATGTGAATGAGGCTGGGTTTTCCTTTATCAGGAGGTGTTTTCCTAAGCTGAGCTGGGCAAATCCATATATTAGGCAACAACTGCCATTTCTGCCTGCAAACAGTTCTTTAATCAGAGCACTGCAGAAGCAAGAAGTGATGCACTGGGTCACTGAACCACGAGATCTGCCGCGCTGCTCCAAGGTCTGCTCTGAAAGAAACATCTCCTATTTT